AACGTACCTACCTAACTAACGCAAGCTTCAATAATTTGGAGGCGCTTTTTATCAAAATATATATATTGTATGACGAATAATTTTGAAAAAATAATTTGTTTGCGACAAAAACTTCCTGTAGGCTCCAAGGAGGGCGTCCTTCCTTTGATGGACAGATGGATCGTATGGTCTCTTTGAAAGAAATTCAGAAACACAACAAGGTAGACAACGCTTGGATAGTGATCGACGGGAAGGTAAAAATCAATGTATAATTTAGTTTAAATATTTAAAATTTATCCAATTTTAGAGTTCGTTCCTCTCAAGAGATTGTGAACTGATCTCTTGTTCCTCTTTGGTAGCTTGCATACGAATTCATCGCAGATTGTAGGCTAACTCTTAGTCTTGATTTTCCGTTTCATCCTTAGCTCATTATGAACTTTTAACTCGGAATTTTGGCAGAGCTTGACTTTAAATTTGGTGTAGAGATATTCTTTCAATCGTAGACGTTACCAAACCGAAAAAAGAGATAAAAAAATTGCATCATCCATTTCAAAAGTGTGATAGTTCACTCTGTACCATGATTTAGTTATGGGCTGAACACAGTTGTGTAAGATTGACCTTCATTAATTGTTTGGTGCTTTTGGCCTCCAGAAATAAGACTTACATTGAAGGCATTGGAAATGACAGGTGTGCTGAAATCTTTCTGCCATCTAGTTTTCAAAGAATCCTCTGGGAGATTTCAGAGTCCTTTTAAACAGAGTACCAATTTTGTAATCACAGTAGGTTGTTTTAGTGTCCTCTCTTCCTTGTAAGCAAGGCCATTGTTAGATATTTCAAGAGAATATAATATGTATTGATTGGCATTTTAAACAGCTTTCATTTCCTCTGTCTCCAGGTGTACAATGTATCAAGCTACATAGCTAGTCATCCTGGTGGGGATTCCATTCTTAAAAATGTTGGAGGAGATGCAACAGAAGGCTTCCACAACCAACCTGCACACAGAGTTGTAAAGAATCACATTGCTTCCTTGTTGCAAAAGTTTTATGTGGGTCTCTTGGCACTAGAAAAGGAAAACTTTGATAATCAACCATAGTCAAAATGGTCGTTAAGGTAATACACTTGGTGTGTCTCTTAGATCACTGTCTGATTGAATACATGGGTTGAACCATTTCTGTCACAACCATTTCTTAGTTACTGTGATGAAAAGCTTCTTCTGCATTCCTAAAGAGACTTGTTTGACCAAGGTAACTTGTGTAACACAGTTGAGTTTGAATAAATGGTTCAAACAACTTATAAGCAAACTAGTAGCTATAGGGAGAAGAAACTACCCTTTACCATGTAACATCAGTCTGTATATTAACCATACTGTTCTCTTTCCTTAGTTGCTGACAAGGAGAATTTGTTTAACAATATAGAGCTTTTGTAGTTGGTGATCATTTCTTTTATTCCTCTGACTTGTGGGGGCAAGGGCCTGCTTCACTCAAACACATTTACTCAGCATTCAATTTAATGACTCTTTTAATGCACACGTGAAGAATAAGTAAATTCCTAAGGAACAGAAAATGACTTTTGCAAAAATGCACTAATGTATTAGACAAGAATAATAAGTGCAAAGATACCACGAGACAAAAAACTTACCAATTGCTAAGGGAATATACAAGACATGAACATTTGTAAGAAAGTTTACCTCAACACAAAATAAGACACACAGGCAAAAAGGGCATGAAATATGATATCAGAAGGGCTATGTAATTGACATAAAATGCAAAAATTATGCTGTAGAAATGGTATGTGGAAAAACAAAAAATAAATTAATGGTTGTGGAAATAAGAGACATATTTGTGAGAAATAAAAAAATTACACATGCACCACAACATGACCATAATATATGAGTCAGAGGTGATATTATAAGAAAGATGAAATTACATACAAGTTACTTTTAGAGGTCAAAGACTTACTTGGACCTTTAACAGTAAGGAGTCATGTTAACAAGTAATCAGCAAACTTCCTTCTAGAATTGAATGAAGTTAGAAAATCCAGGGATTATGTTTCAAGTGGTCAGATTGTAAATATTCCTACAAAACTTAATAACAATTTAGGGTGACTATAATGATCTGAAAACTTGAGAATTTACTATTTTGGTCTGATCTGCAAGAAGCTATTGCTCTCTAGTGAAATTGTTGCAAAATATGTTAGATCCTGATAGTTATTAGAAGTGGGAATTATGCTGGAATAAAAACAAAGGTATGAAAACGTGGTTAATGTCTACAAAAACCTCTTTTCAAATGGTATGATCTCAGAAATGTAGACTGGAGAGTATTCAAATTTGTTTTTTTAATTTTCTGGTAAATTATATGTTGTCACTGGGTGAATTATTTTGTTGATGAAAAGGCATGTGATGAACATTTTCCAAAAGCCTATCAAAGCAATTGAAAGTAATCCCTCGCTTTGTTCTCTGATTTGCCTAGCAAGTTCACGCCACTCTCTCGTCCGTTCAAATGTGTGATTTTTTTTCAAGCTTTTTGATTAAGTCAGTCCTAAATCGAAAAAACTATGAGAATTGAACGTAAATGCAATTTAAAACGCGAGTGACTTAAACTCTTTTTATAGAAAAAGAGTTGATTTCCATTTTTAGATTAAAACAGTGCGACACTAACGGGCCACCATACAATAGCGTGTGTTGGGAACTTACATCAGCACGTTCGCGTACTGCGTTGAGCGAAAACATAATTGCGTGACAGCACTAAAACAACGAGGGAGTAGAGTTTTTATTCCATCGTGGTTAGCGAAAAAAAGACAGAATTGTGTCGTTTGAAAGAAAGTTTTTGAAGTCATGAACCGACCAGATAGAATGTTTTTGTTGTGTTATTACTATATATATATTTGTGAAAGTTTCCCATGCGGCAGTGGCGTTAGTCCTCTTTCCTCCCGTGTTGCGTAAGCCGCGTGGGTTTTTCCCAATTGACCAATCAGAATGTGTAAACTTCGTTTACCTGCGTCACAAAGGCACGTGCGTGCACGTGCAGGGCTGATGTAAACAGAGGAGCGCAAAGTGAGATCCAAACCGGTTCCTCGAGCGAAGGACTTTGCATATATTCCCTCTTTATGTGATCTATAAATCGTTGTATCAACCTAAGTTAGAATCATGATTGAGAAAGTCAATTCTCAATCAAGTAGTAAAGACGATGCTTCAAGGAGTTTGTGGGTTTTTGGTTACGGTTCTTTGATTTGGAAACCCGATTTTCCTTTCGAATACTGCGTTGTCGGCCATATCGATGGATTCGTCCGGCGATTTTATCAGGGAAGCACTTGGCATCGTGGTGATTCCGAAAAGGTAGAGAGCATTCAATTTTACATTGATTTGAAAACATATAAGAGTCTCATAACGCGTTATTTTTGTTTTCAGCCAGGTAGAGTGGTAACCTTGGTGGAGGAAAAACAGGTATTTTTATGTAAACAGCGTTAATGATCGTCGAATTTCACTGTACAAAGCTATCTTGATAAGGTAGCATTGATAGATAACATCGCGAGCCACAGAAGGAAAGGATTGATTTGACTTCCTAGTTAACGATATCTTTGTAATGGCAATAACACGATCAAGTATAGTTTTTTTAGACGCGATTCGATTTTCCTAGGATCTTTCAACCGGCTTAACGTCAATCAGGCTGTACGAACAATGTATCATAGATTTTGTTTAACGCGTTCAGTTAAGGTGTGCAAGTTGAATAACAAATTTAACTTACGACAATGGTGTACCAAATGACCTTCGGAACAGTACAGTCTATACTATCGGACGCGATAATCACTTAAGCTGTAGAGGAACTACAGTCACATCTTATTCAAGGATAGTATTAGATCTGAAAGAAATTGTTTCGTTCACGCGCGAGTGGGCGTTTTAGCGTTTGCTTTCTCTAAAACGAAAAGTGCAATCAATTTGTTTTGGAATTTTTTAAGTCCATGGTTCGTTAGTGCGTTGGTCGTAAACAAACTTGGATTGTAATTTGCATACAGTCGTCTCTGCGTAAAACGGCTCAGAATTTATTAGGTCAAAACGTCTTTTCCTTTTGATGGAATCTTTCATCGAAACATTGAAAACTCGTGGAAGTCCAATGCTACAAGTATTTGCTTTGTATCAGCGTGGGTGCAAGCAGGTCGAGACCCAAATGCTGATGGTCTAATTAAATACGCTCTTGAATTTTTATTTAATCTCTATCTTATGTTGTTCGTTGTGTCTCCTTTGTAATTGTGAATTAAATTTTAAAATAGCTTTTATTTAGCTCCTTTGTGCTTGCGAGAAAAGGAATAGTGAAATTCGAGAACTTTCACTCGTGTTTTTCATGCTGCTTTTATAAAAAATTTACGTAATGAACTTTGAAAAGCTTGCTTTCTGATGCAAATACATATCTCCGCCTCTTGTGGTTTCGAGGAATACTTTTATTACATCCAATCCAGATGTTTTCCTATACGTTGGTCCACCACTTTAGTATTTTTGGTGAAATTCGTTATGTTTAAATGTAAAAGCCACAAAAGTTCCTCGGCAAATTATCACTTGGCAGGTTTTTGTTCACGGTGTGAGTCGGAAAATTAGACAAATTTTTCCTCGACCAGGTCCCCAGCTCAAAACCTTTCATGCTGGATTTTTGTATTAAATGGTTAAATAAATCTTTAAAGAGATAAGGAGATTCGTCAAAATAAAACTCAAAGTGGATGAATTTGATTGGCGAATAGTAATTCAAAATGACAAAGAAATTGTGAAGGGTTTAGGGGATATTGAAATTGGGCAAGTTTACTTCGACAGGTGTCGTTAAAAAAATAACTTTCTTAATTAAGTTCCTTTCCTTAAGTAAATAGCGAAAAATTTATACTAGTCCTAGGAAAACTTGTGTAGTCCAAGAGGGCTCGTGGTAAAGGAACCCGTGGCAAGAAGAGCTTGTGGCGTGAGCCTAATGAATTTAGCGCTCGGCCGTCAGAATAATGAGAAATGTCATTCTACGCTCAAATCTTTGTTTCTTTCTTTGTTTTTTCTTCTTTTCAACCGACGCACACTGCACGCTCTACAATCAAAGTATCAAACGCAGCACGTTCATGAATAAGAATGCACGTGGTCCAAGTACTGACGTTCTGCTGAGTGGCACATGACCGCTTATCTGTATTCATCCAGAAGCATACACTCTTTCGAGTAAACAGCGCTAAGAAGTATCCGCCTAAGATCGTTTATTTTCAGCAGTGAATCATTTTTCACACTGAATTATTTGATCGTAGAAAATGCCTTCTTCACAGAAGAATGATAAGAATGAAGAATGTTTTCAATCAAACAAAGAAACCAAAATTACTCCAACTGTGATACGTCTTTGTCCAAGTACTATTATAAACCTCGCACTTCCGTCACCTCTTACTTTCCTTCCCACAGCTCAGTCCGAGCAGACTTGAAAATTAGAGAGTGAAGGAAAAGAACGAAGATTGTTGAAACTTAGGAACTAATGGTTTGATTTCTCACATTTCGTGGCGTGTTACAGGCTTTAACGCCAATCTTTATTGTTACCACTAAAATGAAGAAAATCATAACTCAAAACTTCTTAAGGGGACATCAGAAACAAAGTTCACTAAAACCTACGAAAAGTACACTGACTGAGGACGTTTTCTTGTATAGCTTGCGAAAAGGTACCTTTAATGTGCACGTGTAATTGTGTTTATTACATCCATTTTGAAACCACTGGTAATCTTTGCAATCCGATTGGCTCTCTGCAGTGCGATTTATTCGCAAATTGCATTATCTTGTGTTCGAAATCGCTTGTTTTTCTCAGCTAATGAGAAAGCAACACAAAACAACCAACCAGATTTCAAGGCTTAATCACAGTAACCAATCGAATTGTCGGAAAGTGAAATTTATGAAAGGGATCGTGCAAATTTTGTCCCAAAATCTTTTGGGACAAAATGGATGAGTTCAATTTCTTACAGTTTTTTAATTAAGAAAATAAGATATTTGTGCGGACTAAAATCCTGTATTTGGGTGATTAAATTTTGTCATTTGAAAATGGGTGTAGATACGAGGCAACACTACTGCCGTGTTAATCATAACCGTTACAATTTCTTCAAATGTGATTGGTGCATTGGCTGCTTTATTTTTCACTAATAATTCTGCGTAGTTGTTATCGGACTTAGCAATTGGACAGTTGGCTGTAATCGGACACTTGTATACTTGTAATCAGACAGTTAAAGCAGCCAATCATACTTAGTCCACTCAGCTAAATCCATCAATCACAGAATTGATCACAATAACCATAGCAACAACCAATTATCCTCTCTTACTTTAGCTTTAGTCTCTACCAGAGATGTTTGTGCTCAATGTTTTTTTTCCCGGAAATTTAACGGCTATGATAAATTGGTAACAGGACTTCGTGTCGTCCAATTCTGTCGGTAAACATACTCGTGGTTGACAAATCAGACTCCCGCTTCGCGGTCGTCCAATTTTTTGTTCATCACTCGTATGATTACAGACCGAATTGGACTCCTCAGTCCTATTATTATTATCAATTGGTTAACTTATATATTTTCATTTTCTCTTTAGGGCCGTGTATGGGGCATCGCATACAAGGTAGCGAGGGAAAACGCCAATCTTGCCTTGGGAAAACTCAACGAACGTGAAATCGCTCTAGGGGGCTATGATCTTCGTCATTTATCTTTCAGTTGTAACGAGAAACCTTCACACAGATTCAATGTGGTGGCGTATGCTGCGACTCCAAAAAATGCTCTGTATCTTGGACCAGCCTCGCCAGAGCAGATCGCCTCACAAATTGCCTACGCAAAGGGGAATTCTGGCCTGAATGTAGAGTACCTTGTTCGTTTAGCGGACTTTATGAGGGAAAAAGTGCCAGATTATGACGAACGACACCTGTTTGATTTGGAGAAATTAGTCAAGAAAGAGTTAGGACTTTCCACTGATGTTTACACGTCATGGACTCAGCTAAAATACAACTTAACGAGTCGAGGATGAAATGAAAACCGCGGGTGATGGTTGTAAGTAGGACATAATCTAATGAAAGAATCGATAATTCCATGAAGAAAATCTTTATTAGAAACAACCGTACTCGTTTTGTATTGCAAAGGAAAAAGGAAAAACACTGTCTGAATGACGTCCAGTCACTTAGAAAATAACGTTAAGTGACATTGCATCAATGTTGAATTACTTTGACTTTTAATAGAATTTACCCAATTTCTATACTATTTATTTTTAGGGGAAGTAATTATAAGGGGCTG